CCTATATGCAGCTCTTATGAAAGGGCTTTCCCCTCTTCCTCTGAACTGAGGCAACATTTTGCACTTCTTTTATATTTATTGTACCCTACTTTTCACAATAGTGATTTATAATATTATGCATGGGACAGCTAGGTGGTGCAATGGATAGAGAACTGGGCCTGGAATCATGAAGACGAGTTCAAATCTGGCCTCAGACACAGTTAATAAAGCCAAACAATCATTGTATTATTAATATCTGCTGGTTGAGGAAGTACATGATGGCAAATGATTTTATGTTTTATGAATCACAACAGCGATAAGAAATTATTTGGTCTTCAAAGGGTAGATTCACTTATTTGTTACACAGGGTCATTTAATGAGATGGACCCCTCACAGTGACTCTACAGTGTCCCATTGAGCTGATGATCTCAAAGGTTCTTTTTTTTCTTTTTCTTTTTCCCCAAATCTGGCCTCATGAGGGGCAGCCAGGTGGCGAAGTGGATAGAGCACCAGCCCTGGAGTCAGGAGGACCTGAATCCAAATCTGGCCTCAGACACTTGAAACTTACTAACCGTGTGACCCTGTGCAAGTCACTTAACCCCATTCCCTAGTAAAGAAAACAAACAAGAATTTGGCCTCAGACACAGTAAGCAAGCTAGTATAAAGCTGTGTGACCCTGTGCAAGTCACTTAACCCCATTCCCTAGTAAAGAAAACAAACAAGCAAACAAGAATTTGGCCTCAGACACAGTAAGCAAGCTAGTATAAAGCTGTATGACCCTGGGCAAGTCACTTAACCCCATTCCCTAGTAAAGAAAACAAACAAACAAACAAGAATTTGGCCTCAGACACAGTAAGCAAGCTAGTATAAAGCTGTGTGACCCTGGGCAAGTCACTTAACCCTATTTGCCTTAGTTCCTCATCTGGAAAATGAGCTGGAGAAGGAAATGGCAAACCACTGCAATATCTTTGCCAAAAAAATGGGGTCACCGAGAGTCCGACGTGATTGAACAACACCAATGGAATGTACATATATCATATCCTTCCTGCTAGATTGTAAATTTGAAGTCAGGGACCATGTCTTAATTATCCTTCTAACTTCTGAAGCCCAACACAGTTACCTCACACATAGGAGCATCTTGATAAATGGTTGTTGAATGGATGAATGACTTTAATGAATTGGCTTTTATTCTGTAGACTTAGACCTGGGAGGAACTTCAGAGGCAACCCTGTCCAAGCTCTTCATTTTGTAGATGACGAAACTGAGGCCCTCTGAGGACCAGAGTGGCTTGGCCAGGGAATGCCAGAGGTGGGATGGGAACCCAGGACTTCCTGCTCCAGAGTCACTGTTTTTCTCTGTCCCAAGTTGCCTGTGGTTTGCCTCTAACACGGTTGTAGGCACTATATGCAAAACGAGTTAAATAGAGAGAATCATTCCCACCTAGAATATTGTCCCAGGGCTTTGCCACTTAACTGGATGCTCAGTATCATAATGACTTGAATATACAACAAGGTATGTTGGTTGTCGGGTTTTGTTTCCTGTTTTCTTTTTTAAGAAAGATAAACATTTATGAGTATGTTTTACTCATTCTTCACCTGTTAACACCCAGACACACAACACCCCAGCACTGTTCATGCTTGGAAGCTACTGCTTCTACACCATATGGGCCTCCTTATCCTTGTCCTCTAAAACAGTAGCCAGCATGTTAACATAGCGCTGCTGAAAACTCCCTGATCCTTGGATTATGATATGCAGCTGCTACTCTTGGAACATAACATGCATTATGAGGTGCTTCCTCAAGACACCTCCCAAACAATATTTCTAAGGGGGGGAGAGAGGGAAGGGGCGAGACAGATGGAAGGAGGCTGCAGGTGGGAGGAGGATGCCAAGTGTGACCTCTGCTGCTGACATGTGTAAACCCCCAGGCCTGACCTGGGGTAATGGAGAAAACAGAAGTCAGTTTAAAATGAGGGTAATAACAGTTTTTGAAAGTGAATGAACCTTCCAAAGTGATTATGTTGATCAAAAAGTTAACAGAAATTGAGAAGTTAATGTACGTTTTTTAGATCAGAGTTATAAGGAAGCTGAAACTCCAAACACTTAGCTTTTTATTCCTGGACAAACCCTAATCACCTGTCGTGTTCTTAGCCCTGTTAGGCATTGTGGGAGATACAGAGAAGTGTGAAACATTCTCTGTCCTCAAGAAACTTGTTATTACAGTCTAGCTGAAGAGCGGAGACTTGATGCTGGACAGCAGTCAGTCACAAGGCAGAGGCAGTATATGATGAAGTCCCAAACGAAGAGCAAAGTCACTACGCCCAGCGTTCAGAGAAAAGGTTTTATCATTTTTGCAGTTGCCACACACTGGCGTTTTTCTTGATGGAGAGATAGGTTCACATGACATGTTAAAGTCTTTTAATTAATGAGCAGACACGTCTATGACTTCTTCCACCTCTGTTTCCCCAAGAGATGGATTTGAGTGCCTCTTGACAAGTATAGGAAAGTATAGGACATGGGTGTATTTACTATTAAATGCACCACTTTTAGTTTTGAAGGGTTGCTCTGAGTTAATTGCATGGTCACCTTCAAAAAATCCCCCAATCAGTAGATTGGAATACTGAATCCCTAAACCTCTCACTCCCACCACACGTTTCTTTCCTCACAGACCACGGTAGTATCTTTCTCCCTCTGTCCACTGTCCCCTGCCCCAACCCTGCTACTGAACCACCTGGGGGGACTTGGGCAGACTTTCCAGCCTCTCTGGCCCTGAGCTTTCCCATCTGTAAAATGGGTACATATTCTTTCAAGTCCCTTTCAGGGCTGAATCTGTGATCCTGTGATTTTGATAGTTGAAGGACATATCACAAAATCATAGAATTTTGAAAATCTGAGAGACCTCAGCAGCCTTCTAATCCATCCCATACCTTTAAAAATATGCCCTCTATAGCAAGGGTTCTTAACTCAAGGAGGAAAGTTATATATTTATTTTTCCTGAGCTCTAACTGAAATTTAGCATTTCCTTCAATTCAGAATTTAGGCAACAAACCACAGTAGTGTTAGGCTCCACCAGACTGCCAGATGTGTCCCATGACACAAAGGTTGAGTCTCTGGCCTGTTATCATCATGGACAAGTGATCTTGCCGCTTCTCGAAGACTTTCAATGGGAAGGAAGTTGGTGGTACTTGTAGACACCCATTGCACTTTTGGGTAGCTCTAGTTGTTAGGAAGTTTTTCCTTACACCGGAGCTGAATTAAATATCTGCAGTTCCTTCAACCAGTCCTCATGTGGCGTGATTCCAGTGCCCACAATAACTCTGGTTGTCATCCTTTGGATACTCTCCAGCATAAAAATGTGGCCCCTCAAACTGAATGCAGAACTCCAGATCGCAGTCTCCTTTTTCCTTAATGTAGCCTAAGAGCACATGAGCTTTTTTGGCTACTGTCTATGTAGGGGTCCTGTGTAACTAGCAACAAGCCAAGCATGATGGGTTACTCCCCTATGATTTGGGCCATTGTGAGACATTGTGTTGATAATGCTGTATATTTGTGTATTTTTTTTCTTCATAATTACAGTTTAAAATGTACATGATCAGCAAAATCCATGCTTTCTCTTGCACTAAGAAGGGGCTTACACAAGGGCCATGATTTCGTCATAAAATATGAAAGGAGTTGGAGCCAGTGACTGAGCATCACCTACAATCTAAAGGCTTTGGAGGTTGTGATGTTCCACGATTCGTAGCAATGAAGTGTCTCGGATGGGATTTTGTTCAGGGAAGCAGCCTGAGGTTGCTGGAAAAGCCACTCCTTTTCCCAAATAAAGAGCAGCCAGTCCCCTGCTTCTTCATGCTGATGGTACTCAGTGGGCTATCCATCCCACTCCCTCTGTCTGGACGAAAGAAATTCTTCGTCTGCTTGGTTTTCCTGTTTGGATGGTTGAACAGAACTCTTTGGAGAGTGGCTTAAGTGCTTAATATTACACTGAGAAGGCAGGGTCACGTTCTGGGGCTTGCTGCAGTGCGCAGGAGCCTCACCTGAAGGACCTCCCCAGGCAAAGAAGTCAGGAAGGTTACAGTTCTTCACATTCGCTCCGGTTTTCCCAGCTTTTTAAAGGCTGTGTTGTTGCTAGGAACCCGCAACACCCCTCTCCTCCCAATTCCCCTGGGATCTGCCTGTTAGATCCTCAGACCCTTATTCTTTGGCCTTGCGTAGCGCCTCTTCTCCCAGCGCTCTGTGCTCTGCGTCGGAGATTTGGACTCGAAGCCCCTTGCCCTTTGGTCTCAGATTCTCTGTGGTGGGCTGACTCCCTAGCTCTTGTACCTTAGATGAACATTTCCTGTGTTTTTATTCTCATCTCCCTATGTGTGTCTTTTCCTCTCTGAAGACCGTTTTCTTAATAGCTGGTAGCATTTACATGGGCTCAGTTCATCTTATTTACCTTACAGGATTTTACAGTGTGTGTTTGTATATTTATGTTCCTTTCCCCTGGAAAAACCTTACTTGTTTTCCCTCCCTCCATTTAAATTCTTCAGACCTCACATTGACGTTTTAATACTAGCCTGGCTGGGACTGTACGGTTACTCTCTGGGGAGGGGGCTCTGATTCTAGCTCTGGCCTCGCTGGTGTGAATGGATCAGTCTGTGAGCAGATACCGTATAGGCAGGTGTGTCCAGCACCAGTCTGAGTTGGAGCGCTTCTCTAAGACTGTGGACAACACAAGGAACGTTTTTCCGTTCTTGTTCTTTTCTCATGGGTCCACACTGGGAGTTAAGCCTGCCCTTCCTCATACTCAAGCTTGTCTGAAGCTAGCGGTGACATCAGAGAACTCAGACGCTGAGAGCCAGGACGCTCCCTCAAGATGCTTCAGTCATACGCTTTGTCGTGTTTGTGTTTGCTAAGTTGTAACGTGATCAGTGATGACAAAATCTCTCATCTCTCGTGTTCACATTTTGGTTCTCCCTGGCGCCGTGTCTCTGTTGTTAAATAGCCATTTACTGACCCTGTTCTTCTGGCTTTCGTTGCAGATTTGTCCAATCTGTGCAGCATTACCTGGCGGAGATCCTAATCATGTCACAGATGACTTTGCAGCTCATCTCACACTTGAACACAGAGCCCCTAGAGATTTAATATCCTTTTATGTGCCAGCAAGGAAAAGAAAGGAGGAAATTGCATGTGTCACTCTGGGCTGTAGCTATTAACATGTGCTTGATTATCTAAAAAGCAAATCAGAAAAAAGACCAAACTTCCAAACTGTCTATTCACATTGGAAAAAAAAACTAATTTAAAGATGGACTCCTGTGCGTATTAGTCCTCTTACTTTCAATATAATTCAAAAATCAAATGGCATGTCCCACATAGGTAGATTTTTAATCAGCTGGCCATTGCATATGTGATAACCTCCTTGTATAGAACTAAATGTCCCATGTCATTCCATAATCAAGACTGTCAACATTTCAGTTTTTTGAAAATTGATGTTTTTTTTTTAGGCAGTTGGGGTTGAGTGACTTGCCCAGGGTCACACAGCTAGTAAGTGTCAAGTGTTTGGTCTGAGACTGTATTTGAACTCGGGGCCGGTGCCCTATCCAGTGCGCCACCTAGCTGCCCCGAAAATTGATCTTCTCTATATGATAAATAACAACTCTTATAACCAGTATATTTTATTAAAACCAGAGTCTTCTCTCTGATACTAGACAACCAGTATACTGCAGTAACACCTCAATTATCCCATGGCCCTGGAAACCAGACTTTCAGGAATTCCAAGCATGCAGAAGGAGGCCAAACCTAAATATGGCAAGGGGGAAGGGAAGTAAGTATAAGGGAGGAGAGGAGTGAGGCCAAGCAGCATAACCTGAGAATCTACTGCCAAGGAAATTAAGTAAGAAGAGCTAAGGATTACCTTAGCTCTTTCAGAAGACGGAAAGAAGCACTCAGAATTCATATTGATGATGTCTATGAAAAAGCAGTTACAGACAAGACAAGAAGAAAAATGGGAGTGGAATGGATGCACAAGGAGCAGTGAGAGATAACGGTTCCTGACCCAGAGGCAAAGAGGGGTGCCTGCAGTGGAGACGCAGATGATAAGAACAGCATAGATAGATAGATAGGTAGATAAATAAATAGATGGATGGATGGATGACACTCTTTAGGTTTGCCAAGGGGTTAGTCAAAACATTCTTCCCATTTTGAAATGAGAAAACCAAACCACAGGGAGGGTAGGTGTCTGGCACTTACATGTATATGAGGCAGAAAGAACTGTGTAATACAGGTGGAGTGCTGGATATACACATGCAGCAGAACAGAATTAGCACATTTCAGAAGCCATCCCTTGATAGGTAGGGATTCTAAACAACTGGGGAAAGATGCAAGTGTAAGAAAGGTACGCTTACCTTAGAAAATGGAAATCTGTCCACAACTTGACATGGGGAGCCCAGGAAAATGTCAGTTGGTCGGTACCATTAGAGTACCTGGATTGGGTTTTATTTAATTGTTTCTTAGCAAAAAAAAAAAAAATTAGAGAGTGCCCTCTAACTCCAACCCAGTGTTAATCAGAAAGCAAAAAATATTTTTATGAGCAAAGGCAACGAATTGAACCATGCAGGCTGTCTGAAGGTCATTTTATGTTTATTTGAAAGTCAAACAAGACTTTAGAAAACTAGATACAGATCATAAAAAGCAGCAAATCGCGAGGCAGCAGAACGTTTTTTCCTCTTCACAGAATCTATCCCAAAAGATGCCAATGAAACCAGTGTATTTTGGTGCTACCTCCTAATGAATCAAACACTGCACCCTCTTGAGGTTGAGTTTGGTTAAGGACAGGTTGACTGTTTTGTCACTTCCTAATAATGATTTAGAGTGCCACCAAATCAAACCTCAGACTCCTAGAACAGTTTGGCATCCATTGAGCTCTCTCAGAACATAAGCTAATTCATGGGTGGAAAAACACTTTTTCTGACTAGCTCTGTCATTAATTTTTTTTTAACCTTCGTTGAAAGGTAAGCTTATAGCGATAACTCAAACTAAAAAGGATTTATTAAGTGCCTACTCTGTGGGTGGCACTGGAGACGCAAAAACAAAATGAAAGAAGAGTCCCTGCCCTCACGGAGCACGTATTCTACTCAGGAACACAACGTGGAGTTCTGAAATGAACATGGCAAAAGTTAGTTTTACAGTTATAGTTTTGTAGTTATAAAGCTCACTCCTGAGGAAGTTAGTGTCTTAAGTTTGTTTTACCATCTCTCTTCCTACCTAGCAGACCTCACTTAACCTGTGAACAAGCTCAGCATATGAGGCATCATTACAGAAAAAATGTCATGAGAAAGTTGATCTTAGCACCGCGGATTTAGAGTTGGAAAGGCCCTTAGAGATCATGTCATCCAACCCCCTCCCCTTCCTTTTAACAAGTGAAGAAACTGACGCCTCATGAGATTAAGGAAGTTGCCCAAGGTTCCAGTTACTAAGCGGCAGCGCTAGAACTTGAACCTAGGCCCTGTGGTTCTAAATCCAGCTCCTTCAACAGTACCTTTGCTGTAGGTACATAGCAGGGGGTTTGAAGGGGATGAGTGGCATGGTCTAATGGAGACAACAGTGCTTTGGGGTTCAGCAGACCTGAATGTAAACCTTGGCTCTGCCACTTACTGCCTATGTGACCTTTAGCAACCTTAGGCAAGTCATGTAACTTCTGTGTGCCTCAGTTTCCTCATCTATAAAGTATGAGTTAGAATGCATGACTTCTGGATCCTTTCCAGGTCCAACTCTGTAATCCTGAGGTCTTGTCTAATTCTATTAGGTTTCGCTTTTAATTTTGCTCACACCTGGAGTTTTCTTAAGGAGAAATTGGAGAAAATGGGAGCATAGTTTTATGTCCACAGACATGTAACTGGAGAATGAGGGTGAATTTGCAGACCTCAAAGTAAGCCCTCTCTAATTCATGTAATAGTGAGATTATGATCCATGAGTAAGTTTAGTGCTAAGGAGTTAGAAAAGTGAATGCAAGCTGGCTAGGGAAGTTGCCTGTGGTTTATTGTGACCATCAGGTAGATGTGGTGTTTGAAATGATTTTCACAAGTCAGAGAATCTGAGCCTGATGACAGGTGTCTGCTGGCCAGCCACCTTCTTGTCCTCCTCCTAGGAGGCTACTAGAAGTCTGCGCAGAGTAAGTGAGGTGATCCTGTATTCAAATGCCAACATTTCACTCTTCCACTGGTTTCTTTTTCTTTTTGGCTAGGCAGTGGGGATAAGTGACTTGCCTCGGGTCACACAGCTAGTGTTATGTGTCTGAGGCTGGATTTGAATCCAGGGCCGGTGCTGTATCTACTGCGCCACCCAGCTGCCCCACTCTTTCACTAGTTTCAAGTAACATCCAGCAGCATGGTTTGTTTTCCATTTGAGTTGTGACTGAGAGACAGGACAAGACGTTTCATTCAAGTGCCAAAAGCCATTTTAGAAGAGTCTGTTTGCCTGCCTAGCAAAGAATAAGCTTGTATTGATTTTCACAGGCCATTCCGTTTGTTTTCTTAACTCGCGGGTTACGATGAATCGAGTGGTGTTCGACATGTACGTAGAATGTTTCACCCTGGCCGGGGGCTAGGAGGTCCTCGGGCCCGTAGATCAAACATGCACTTTACTAGCAGTTCTACTGGTGGGCTTTCTTCTTCACAGAGTTCGTATTCTCCAAGCAATAGGGAAGCCATGGATCCTATCGCTGGTAAGACCTTTTTGTATTTGCCTCCTAAAGAATATTGCTTTGTCTTTTTCCTTTTAAAATTTTGGTTCCAATATGTATGTTTTTTGTTCCCTGGCCATCAAACAGCTACCAGTTTTTGGTATATTTTCATTTAAAATAAAAAAAATCCTTAAAATGTTAAAAGGTGGTAATATAGAACATGAATCATTTTGCTTGACTATAGTTTTTTGGTTTTTTCCCAAGCACTGAGTAACTAATGGAAGAAACAAGTAACTCTTGATGACATTTTCTCTTTTTTTTTTATGCCCCCCCCAAAAAAAAGAACCTTAAAAAATTAATCTTTTCTCATACAAAAGTCAAACGAGAACATGTTTGTCTTTGTATAAAATCACAGGAAAATCTTGTGAAAACACAAGAATATAAAGGCAAGATACTGGAAAATGCCTCTTGTAATAGTTTATGACGATATAAGTGAAAAATATTGGGACACAAAGTTCATAACTGATCCTCCTGGCCCACCATTCCAGAAACCATGAGTCTGTAATTCTGCTTTGAACTGCAAAGTGCAACTAGCAATGATTGTAAATACTTTTTGTTTAAAACCAGACCGTCCTGTTGAAGCCATGGGCTTGGCTGAGAGTGAAAGCTTGTTACAGCAAACTGGAAATGTCTGCACTCCAACTTCTTCCCTGCTTGTGTCCTTGATAGTCTGTGGCTCCATTGTAAGCCAGTTAAAAAATGTTTTCATTTTTAAAGACATAGCCCTGTGAGGTGTTTGTCCGTCAGGTTAGGGCTGAAGTGGTGCTTGCCACGGGACTGGTTCTGTCTTGGGGAACAATCAGACGTGATGAAGAGAGGTGAGTGGGAGCAACCTGGAGGAGACTAAACGTGCTGTGCCAGGGACCCCTGGAGGAGCGGGAAAGCTGCCTGATCCCCCCTTTTAGCTCACAGGATGGGGTTCTTTTCCTTGGGCAAGCAACAAATTTGACAAATACTTCTGTTTCCTGTCACTTCTAAAAATTAGAAAGGAGTTGGATTAGCTGATGCAGATGATTCTTCCTAAAATACCTTTAATTCAGTCAAAATTCTGCCATGTAGTAAATTCCCTCCCCTCCTGCAGAATGCTGTTATAGTTAGGGGAGGCCCTTCTCCAGTAAAAAAGCGCCCTCTGGAATTGAGGGCCAAGGAATACAAGAATGATTCAGCACATGTTTCTGTTCTCCTAATTTTGAAGCATTTCCACCTGGCTGTGAATTAGTCAGGACCAAGCTATTTAGCGAGGCTTCATTACATGGCCTTCTAAGGGCCTCCTTCAAACTCTTGGGTTCTGTAATCTAGAGGTTTGCTGGTCACTCCATGGATCTTGGAGTACCACATGTTCCCCGAGGCCAAAGCCAGTGACAGAAGGGACAGACGAACAACATGGTAAGCCTATACATGCATCTAGTATGTCAGACGTCAGCAGTCGATGTGAGGAGCTCAGTGAGGGAGACAGGAGTCTTCTCTGTCCCAAGAAGAGGTCATGCCTCAGAATTCAAGGTGACTTGGTGGACATCTGGGATCTGTCAGAGTTGAAAAGGCAAGGCAGAAGTGAGTCTAGCAAGATAAATCTGGACCTGGCAGGTAGTCAGGGGGACTTGACCGAGATGGCGAAGATAGCGCAGGAGTCTGGGAGCAAATGCTGGCAGAGGGGAAAGAGCTCCATATGGGATGTCACGGTCCCTGGGCTTGAATTCCAGGTCTGCTGTTCATTACGTGCTTGCCCTTGGACAAGTCACGTCATTTCTCATCTCGGTCCCCCCACCTTTTATTATGAAAGAGTTAGACTGGATGCTCTGTCTGACGTCCCTGCCAGTGACCTCTTATCAGAATGTCCTCCACAACATCCGTGGGTGAGTTCATGTCCCTCTAGACAGCCCATTTTGGTTTTGAGCCCTTCCAATTACTAGAAAAATCTGGCTTGTGTTGAGCCAAAATTTGTTTCCCTTGAGTCCTAGATAACTGAAAAGAACAATCAGTGGTGGGCTAATGAAGGTGAACAGCCAGCTCTCCAGAAGAAAACAAATTGTCCACAAAACACACTTTTAAGGTTAATCTGGAATATTTGAATTTTGTCCATCGCTTTAGGTTTAAGCAGTTAGCCAAACGATAACTCAAGCCATGATTTATATAGTTTGTTGATTGTTCTGCCGGCTGAGAGGTGAGCACAATTAGGGCATATTCTGTTTTCTGTTCTCTAGGCTTAAACGGTCTGAGTTTCTTCAGCCTGTCCTCCCCATGACAGGTTTTCTGAGTCCCTCTTCCCTAGGGTAGTGACCGTTTTGTGGAGAACCTTCACAGGTGGTGCCTGTTCCTGAGCACCGCACTGCGGTTGTAACCTCCTGCACCACCGTAGAACACGGCGGGGCTCAGCTCTGGAAGCAGAGATATGGAGTGACTCACCCACAGTCACAGGGGGGGTTCCCAGCAGAGCCAGGGTTAGACTTTCAAGTCTGAGCTTCTCAATGCATCGCCTCTCAGGCTCGTTTGATGGATTGGATAGTTTTGTTGAACTGGGGTTTTTTCCTTCGTTTTATTCTTCATTACAAGGGATGACTCACCAGGCAAGAAGGGGAATGAGAAATATTCAGAAACGAAAGTCAAGTCATGTGCCAGGTACTTTGCTAAGCTCAGAATGTAAGTGACGTAAAGACAAAAGATGTCGGTACATTTTTTAAAAGCTTTTAAAAAGTATGACGTTGTTCTTATGTGCTCAACTTGTTTGTTTCTCTGTGGGAGAAAATCAGTAATATCAGTAAACCAAGATAGTGGGGAATCAGAAAAACATTTCTGATCTGTCTGTTGCTTTAACAAAGCAATCTTTCATTCAGGGGTTTCCAACCTTTTGAGGCTTAAAAAGGTTTTTTAACATCAGTAGATTTTTGGACCTCTGCTTAGTAATAGTTGTACTTTTAGTACCCACTTATTGAGAATTCAAATGGTTGATTAAAAAAACTACTATGAATTCAGAAATGTTCTTAATTATTTTTATTGATAACAGTAGTATGCGTACACATTTGAAAAAATAGTAGATATTTGTATTAGACAGTCAACAGAAAGTCTGTTTGCTTATTGCATCTATTTAAATCACACCCGAGATTCTATTTAAGCTGAAAAACAGAGTGAGAATGACTAGTGTGCATGTGAGTTTGAGGACCTCCTGTAGTAGCTGTTGCCCCTCCTTCCCCTGTAGGTCTGTGATGCACAGACTGAGAACCACTATTCTAAACTGTCTTCTTGAAAATTTTATTTTGGCTGATATTAAGTGGAGGTCACTAGTGGTATGGGGAGACAGCCCAGAAGAGCTGAGTAACAAGAGGAAACCTCTGAGTAGTCAGAACGAGGAGTCACCGACGTGGTGCCTCCTCGCCTCTGAGTGACCAGGGGCCTTTATCCAGGCGTCTCTGCCCTTGAGGTTGACATGTTTTAGTGCGCTTGTTTGCCGACTTACGGCGCGTTTGCTTTGTGCCCGTCGAAGTACACTGGGTTACGGCCTGTCTCCATTTCTCTTGGCAGAGCTTTTATCTCAGTTATCAGGAGTGAGACGTTCTGCGGGAGGACAACTCAATTCTTCTGGCCCCTCAGCTTCTCAGCTACAGCAGCTGCAGATGCAGCTGCAGCTAGAACGACAGCACGCACAGGCAGCGCGGCAGCAGCTGGAGACCGCCCGGAACGCCACCCGGCGCACCAACGCCAGCAGCGTCACCACTACAATCGCACAGTCGACAGCCACAACCAACACGACCAACACGGAGAACAGTCAGCAGACCCTTCAGAACTCCCAGTTCCTGCTTACGAGGTAGCTGCCTCCTGGCCCTTCTCCTGGGACTTTGTTTAGGCATTGAATATTGGAGGACTCATCTTAAGTGAACTTGGCTTTCCCCCTCCATTGGAGCTCTAGAGCCTTGCATTCCTATCGGTTGTGAAACCCGCAGCTCCTCAGGCTAAGTCCCATGTTAAGTATTTCCCTCAGTGGTCTTGGAGGGATAGGACTCGCTCTTTGCTGAATGGCCTGGTGCGACAATGAATAGCGCTCCTCTTTCAGAAATGCTGCAGGGTTTCCAAAGCCCTTCACGTGCACCGCGGTCATCATCATTGTTATCACGATCACATTGATTCCTCCAAGTGTCCGAGTAGGTTGCACAGCTGTCGTGGTCCCATTTTAGAGAGGAGGCTCAAGGGCTTCTGCCTTACCGAGCCAGCATCCTTTTCACCGTTCCATGCTGCCTCCTTAAAGTAGAGTTGGCCAGATATTTATTTGGGAAGTATTTTTCTGTATCGCTCCATCTAATCTGGGTGTCATTTTCTTTATTGTCCAAAAAGCTTACCTATCATGATAGTATATGTATAGGTAATATTAGGCAAAGCTGTAAGCATAATTCACATTGCTCTCTCTTTGTTATCTTTCCTACTGCTGAGAGGTATTAAAAGGGACATGGATGTTATAGACCCTCCCTGCTATCAAAGAAACTTAGAGTGTAGGTCCTGCACAGCTGGGCCTTGGCATGTCAGCATGGCTATATCAGGCCAGGGTCACTATGTGCAAATGATGGCCAGTAACCCAGCCAGGCTCACTTGCAACTGAAGCCAGCTTTGCTGGCCACTAGGGCATCGCCTGCCTTCTGGAGTCAAGTCGCACAACCATTCACATATGTGATTTTCAGAAGGATACAGAAAGGGGAAAAAGATGAAATGATGAGCTGTGGATTTATTTTATTTTGACAGAGCTTAAACCTAAAGAAAACTGAGCCTCTTGAGAAAGTGGAGAAAGGGAGAATATAAATTGGAAAAGTGAATCGGGAAAGTAAGACCAGATCTGTCATGAGCATAAAGCCGGGTTTTAAAGTGGTGGCCACACTGGGGTCAGTTTATGGCACATCTCCTCTTCTCTTCTGAAGGGAAGCAGTAGACAGATTCATTCACCCAACCAGAAGCCCAGCTTAGATTTCTTTTCTCAGATGAACCCTCAGTTTATGGAGGGGCCCAAGTAACAGCCACCACTACTCATTCATGGGTGCATTTCTTCAGATGGTAGGCCTGTCATCTCCTAAAGCAGAGCTCACTGTGTCTTTTGGGACCCTGTCTCAGGGTTCCTCTCTCAGGTCTGTGTTCACCTAGGATGTGCTAGTCTAAAGATGGAGCTTCTTCATCACGGTCCTTGACCTCACTCACCTGCCCACCTGCCGATTTGGTATCCTCTGAAATATGGAACCACTTTGCCCGAGGAGCCTAGCACATATTCTTAAGATCCAGTGTGCCTTAACAGTATTCCTACTACGCTTTTCACTACTCAAAAAGTTTTTTGATTGGGTTCATTATTAATCACCTTTAGTCTATGGTTTACCACAAGCTTTTGCCACCATCTAGGAGAGATGATATACCAGAAATTACCCAGAACACCATTAGGAACACAGAGCTCTCAGGCTTCAACAGAGAGCCTGGCCTTTTTTTTAGTCGGGCAGGTGCCTGCAAATAATACCAGTCTCCTCATTCACCTCAAGGTGCTAGGGCAAGCGTGTCTTCAGGCATCAGAATAGACCCTGGCTGATCGGTGGGTCAAGCCTCAGGTGTAGTCTGATTTTTCTGACCTCACCTCTTCTTTCCTGGCCTTCACGGGTACAGGGGATTCGTTGATCCTGCCACGGACTACCCAGTTACCTCCATGTTCCAAACGTAGCCTGGCTGTGGAGCGTGGCAGGCCCTTCCCCAGTCCTGTTCCTAGGAGCGGCCTTTCCAGGTACTAGCTTTGTCCATAGATTCAGCAAACCCTGGACAGTTTTCCAAAGGAAGGTCAGCCTACCCTGATTAACTCAGATTGGCTTCTTACTGAGAAGGTACATTTAGTACACCTTCCCCTACCCTACTAACCAGTTCACTGCTGTCACAGGAGGGACAGGGAAAACCTTTTTCTTCAGGCTAAAGATCTGAGCTTTATTTAGGCTTTGGATACTTTATTTTTTGATTGAAAATTTATAGCTTACCTCACCAGGCACCATCTTGCCATCATACTGGTTCATGGCTTCTGTCAATTCCTGATTTGCATTCTTAATCACTAAGAAATTACCCCCTGAAGTCCATTCTTTACAGCCTTATCTTAGCTCGATTTCTTGCCTTGAGAACAGGTCGTTCCAAAGGTTATTTAGGAGTATTCTCTGTCCCCTCAGCATTGATCTGACTCCAAGAGCCCAGTGTCCTACAGCCCCTGCCTCCTGGGTCATGTTCTCCTGTGTCTGTGCAGCAGCCTGGCCACAAGAAAACCAAATGCTTTCAGTTGCTAAAAGAACCTTGGAAACAAAAACTGCCCTTTGTTCTTCTGGGGGTACATTGGGATTATTTGACGGAAAAATCTCTGTCCTGCCACTTCCTCCTTGTTCTCCCATTAGTCCCCAGGCCCCAGTGCCCATTTTCCCATCCCCATTCTGCCTCTTTCCCTTTGTTTCTTTGGAGCCACAACTGAAGTCCAATCCCTCCCTGAGAGGTGGATGGCTCTTAGCTCTGAGCAAGAAACCTGGGAGATGCCACCCTGGTCTTGCCCCCCACTCCCTCCCCAACTGCACCTCTAAGTAAATGTATTCAAATAGTTAAAGTTGGGTTTTTAGTAGCAAAGAAAAGAAATGGGTGGAGCCGGGATCAGAAAGAAGATGTCTGTGGGGAAATCCTCCTCAGCTAAGCCCCTTTTCCCCAGATATTTGATTACATTTAGATCATGTCTCATGGAGGATATTTTTTGCTAGCCTTTCAATTGCCAGGTGCTATTCCTGCAAATCCAGCTTTCTGTAAAAGCATCTGTTTGCTTTTTCATGGCCAAATTTCTTATGGAACCTTGTTTAGTATATGTACTTCTTTCTCAGCATAGCAGAGAAGTAGGTTACTTCCTCTTTTACTTCCTGCTTCCTATTTTACAATGAAGAAACTGAGGCCCAAGGAGTGTTTCTGTTCAGTCTTTGCAAGTTCTAAGGTTTTCTCGGTGTGTGGGCACTCCCCGCGAGGGCACAGCAGCGACTCTTGAGGCCACAGTCGGAGGTGGTTGGTTTCCAAAAGTCGCTGTGGTTGAGAGCATCATCAGCCTGTGGCCAGCTCCCAGAGGAGCCTCTGACCTTCTCTAGTCTTGTCCTCACACCCCAGGCATCCAGCCTTCCTGGAAGAAGCCTGTGCGCTTGGGAGGACCTGCTGGAGCAAGGTGTTCTCGCTGTGGCCTCTGAGGACCTGTGCAGCACGTGAGGCAGGGGTGGTCCTCGTGGCTGGAAATCGGAGCAGGCCATAAGTTTCAGCTTCAGAGTGTCCATTCTTTGACCACGTGAACCCTGTTTTAAACCAGGTTTTGCCTTGGCATAGCACAGACCTCCGTCATACCAAAGAAAAGAACCATCTGCCCGTGCGAAAACATATTTGACAGAGCATTGTCTCTTGACAAGTGCCCTAAGCTGCGCAGACATCCCCAACTCTTGGCAGAGGGACATAGGCGTTGCCTCCTGGCCTCCCTCTTAGGGCCTTTGTACGTATCCCATCATCAACTGACTTTGACCAGTTCTGTTTTCTTTTGCTGTCCTCCAGGTTAAATGATCCTAAGATGTCCGAAACAGAGCGTCAGTCGATGGAAAGTGAGCGGGCAGACCGCAGCCTGTTTGTCCAAGAGCTTCTACTGTCCACTTTGATGCGTGAAGAAAGTTCCTCCTCAGATGAGGATGAGCGGGGGGAGATTGCCGATTTTGGTGCTATGGGCTGTGTAGATATTATGCCTTTAGATGTTGCTTTAGAAAACCTAAATTTAAAAGAGAGTAATAAAGGGAATGAGCCTCCACCACCTCCTCTTTGATGACACCCCAATTCGCAGACAGTGTCCTCTGTGCTGTATTTGCCAATGAAAGTGGACAACAACTATCTTGGGTTTGTTTTGGTGATTGTAATTTCAGGTCTGTCACTCTTGTTACATTGTGTACATTCAAAAGGAAGAGAGAAAAAAAATATATATGATAATCATTTCCACTTAACTAATTTTTACTTCTAGCAGGTAAATGTAGGTAGCAGTGCAGGGGTGATCCTGCTTCCTGTACCTTGACATGCAAAAGGCTCCTAATACTCCACATTCAAACTGAAGAGGAAAATTGAAATCTCTAATGAAGCTGCTGTGTGTATTTATGAATATTAATGAATAAAAACTGCTTGGATGGTTTACCTTAACTACTGCATGAGGTTTTTTGCAGCGTGCATGAGTTTTAGTGACCTTGTCATTTAAAAACTTAAATACAAGGAGTAAAACTATATGAGACCCAAAGCTTTCCCCAACATTATTCAAAGGTTACACGATCCAAGAGTGAGTGTGCGCTAGCTGTCGTAGCCATGAAGTAGCTTTTGAATAATGTCCTAACATCTGACTGAATCACCCCCTTCCTTGCTGTGCCTCGAGCACGTGACGCCAGCTGTGCAGTGGAGTGGGCCCTTTGCAGGGAGAAGCCCCTCGCCCTGGGCGACTGGTCTGCTTGGCTGCCCACGTGGAGTTCAGCCTCTTTAATGCATCCAAGAAGACACCACAGTAAATCTACTGTCGAAATCTGCTGCAAGGGCATCTGTGTGCCCTCAAAATCAAATCCTGTTCGTATTTGTTTAAAGTTTTTACTTTTTTGTGGTTGTTTCAAATTTTTCAATTGTTAAACATGTTTTATTCAGGTGTAGATGAATTCATTTATTCACTGTTCAACAAAGTTAACCTGGATTATGTTGTCTTAGTTTTTTAAAAGCCTCACCTTCTCAATCATATTTTGAGTTATTTATGTATTTGCTTCTAGTTTGCGAAGACTTGTCAGTACTAAGGGAGCTTGAGGATGTGACTTCCCAGACTTTGTCAATATATTACAACTGAATTCTTAATGCTAACTTTAGCACCTTTTATTTATTTGGGTTTTCTGGCATAAAAAGTAAAAGCCTTTTAATTGAATCATGCCACCTACATGCCTATATTATTAATCCTCTATGTAAAAAAAAAAAAAAAGGAAAAATGTACAGGGGGGTCTTTTTTTGTGCATAGACTTTCATAATATACCTGAGGCAGGGACAGCAGCTGGGATGGGGTGGTGGGGTTGGCAGGATGGGGAGGGAATTGTTTTGGAATGTCAGTTTAGGACATTCAAACAAAGTTCGCACAGCTTCTGAGAAATTGACAAACAGGCTTATCCATAATCATGTCTTTTCCAGTTCCCTTTTCTCTCTCCCTTTCTCTCCTCTTGCCATCCTTCACTTGCCTTCTTTTTCTGTGTCCTTCCATTTCTGTAATGATTCAAACATTTTAGAATTAAATTACAGACTTGAATACCCACTGGTGTTCTTAAGAGAACTGTGACGTGTATGTTAATCTAAAATAACCAAAAACAAAAGCTCATCCCACATGTCAAAAAAAAAAAAGGTTTGTTTCATTTTCATTTTCCTAAAGAAGCTTCAGATTCCAATGGTTTCCACATAATAATAGGTTTGTTTTCTTTAGTCTCTGCAACGAAAAATGTTTTAAGGGGAAAATTTTACACTAGGCCTCTGGTTATCCTAGCAGTTAACCCCAGTAGGGATTTTTTTATTGATTGTTGAGGATTTTCAAAAACAATTTTCAAGCTGTAGTCTTTTCAAACACATCTTCTGCACATTACAATAAGACACACAGTTCAATAAAGCATTTTCAAGACTGTTGTTCAGTTGAATTTCTTTGGTGTTGATGAACTATGCTGACTGCTCTACTCTAGGATTTCCTATTGGGACTCTCCAGTCCAGGTAATTTTTCCTCTTCATCCTAAACAGAGCAATCTTGGTTTTGTATGAATTAATTCCTTTGGGCGTGTAAAGTAGAAGTTATTAATATTCACTCCTTTTCCTCAGAATTTCTTGGAAAATGGAAAAGCCATTTTTTGTTTGTTCTTTTTGAACATTGGAGGCCAGTGGGCAAGTCTGTTGAGGACAGTCTTAATGCTAATTGAACATTTCAGGATATCCAAAGCTACATGGCATTCCTTATATTGTTTTTAGCAAACATTTTACAAATATTTCATCCCCTGTCAATCAAGGATAAATGGAATATGTGTGAGACAGAAAAACTCAAAAGAGTGTGTGTGCAAGTGTGAGTGGGTGTGGCTAGATTTAGATGCACATATATAGAAAAATAGCTTTCTTTTCATAACTTAAGCTCTTCCAGCTCTTGTGGCCTCACTTTTTGCTTTGGTTTTTTAAATTCATATCGTCACACTGTTTGATTTCTCTTGTCCTATCGAATAGAAATGTGCTGCAAAGACTGATGGGGGAAAAACAAGCAAATGGATACACATTGGCATTTGTCTTAGCTTACATTTTCATATCACTGTGGTCTAGTCCTGACTTGGTTTGGGAGATAACTGGCTTAGCTATAATCTTGGAATATCTTCTGACATTTTTTATTTGCTTTCTGTTAGGACATCAGTAAAGGTGCGTCTTGTCTCATTTGCACTAGAAGAGGTTCAGTGCCAAACGTTTCCCAGTGAAACTGAGGTGTGGGAAGGGCGATTGACCATCCAGGGTGAACCCTTTACTGTCTCTGCTCCTTTGTAATCTATACTGTTGTATACACAGTGAGTTGTGGTATCCCCAAAAGCTAATAGTAAGATGTAAGATAATTACAGGAGTGATTTTCCAGAGACATCACCATACTCTTAATGTAGCTAGAGAAGTGCCAGGAGATTTCATTTTAAGAAAATAGCAAAGCTCCCCCAAGGAGCAGCAGGGTCATGAAATAGAAATTGTATGGTGATAACAGTCAAATCCCAAATCACATTTTCATTGCATTGGATCGATTTAAAGAAACAGCAGAATCAGAGCTGAGATTTTTTATTATCATTATTATAATTATTATTACTAAGAGAATGATTTTTTTAAAAAACTCAACTTTTGGGGAGCTGTTGCTTTTCTTTAAGTATTCCCTTACCATATCTTAAACTGAAATGGAAGCAATAATTGAGGCAAATCGTAAAGCACAGTTATACCTTATGGGTTTGGAGTCACAGGACCTGTGGGTTGAATATTAGCTTTCTGCCCTGTGGCTTTGGGCTGCCTGGTGACCTTGGACAAATCACCTCCCCCCATCCTCAGATTCCTAATCTGTTCAATGAGGGGGTTGGACTAGGTGACCTCTAGGGTCCCTTGAAACTTTAAGCCTATATAACCTCAACTTTCCCCTCTTTCCCCCCCTCCCAAAAAAGCATCCTGGTGAATGAAATTTCCGTCTTATTCCTAGGAAGGACTGGTGGAGATCCTCCAGAACCACTCAGTCTTGAAAAGTCATACGTGCATTACCTGAGCTGTGAGACAGAAATGACCCACAGAAGGGGGTGGAGATCTTTGAGAAGCTCCTGATGGGAGTGAGATTTGGTCCCAAGGCTTTCTAGAGCAGCAGACAAGCAGGGTCCTGGAAACTTCCACTTCCCACAAAGCCTGTGGGAGAGTTCTGTTGGAGATTTCAGGACCATACAGAGAGGAATGAGACAAAGTTGGAAAGAAAATAGGAAAGTGGAGGAAAGTTTTGATCTCTGTTTTGTTGGCTAGTATAATTAAGGAACTTGGTAAACATCATGGATACAAAAGTCTCCTAAAAATCCCAAAGGAATTTGTCGTTTCTACTTGGGTAGTATCTTTAATATCTATACTTGAAGGAGGCATGCAACAGGGGTTTAATCATCTGCGTGAGTGAGTACTACTGTAAGTAGGAAATATTTTAGAGAGAAACAGAATTAGGGTCATTTTTGTGAAGAGTCTGCCAAGTTTTCATTTAGACAGGTTGTCTACCCTGAAGATAATCCAAAGGCCTTTCCTTTTCATCTCTTTGACTTTCACTTTTCCTTTTCTGAAGCCTACCTGGGAGCCTTTGAAAGCCAAACCCCTTCATTACTTCTCCTCAGATGTAACTGTGGCTCTTTCCTCTGTATGCTTTGCACTCATCTTGAGAGCTCAGTGCTGTAGCTAATGAGAGCAGAGACAAGAGTTGGGGTGAGGGTGCGAGATAGAGGAAAGGAATACTTGCCTACCTCTCTTGAATCAGCTCTTAATAGTGTTGTTTCCTCACTTCCATCAATGTGGTATGAATTCTCAGAAGAATGAGGCACATCTGTTATTTGGCTATAAGAGGCCCCAGTCTAAAACTAAGTGGTGATGAGGTTTGTTTTGTTTTGTTAAGAACAGATGACTCCCTAAAATTTTTCATCCTTCTCCAAAACTTTGTTACTGTTCAGAATTGTCCTTAACTGCCTTTATAATTGGTCTTCTGGTACCTGCTTCCAAGGGCTTCTTTCTCAAGTAACAAGTGGTTTGTTAACACACTAGGGAAGCTCATTATTCCCATAACCCAGTGGCAGCCTTTATATGAAGGTGTAACATTTGCTCTCACTTCTTGCCCTTACAGATTCAACTGGGGGAGACAGGGAAGGATGGATAGGAAGAGAAATTGAGGTACCTATTTGAGCATACTGCCTCTAATCCTGGTAGGTTGGTCTACCAATTAGCTGGTCACTTGGTCCAACCTGAGGTAGATGCTTGGCCTGGAATTTGGAAGGAAAACTGTTCAAAGGCCACAGATTTTCTAAACTGATGAATTTAAGTTGTGAGCAAAATAGATAATGCTTAGCAAGGTTTGTAAAGAAGTGATTGGGTACCATTTGATTCCTTTCTTACTAGTCTTTAACTGTTGGCAGCTTATTCTATGTATGACTTTATCAGAATGTTTCCAGATTTCTGAGCCAATTATACACACACACACACACACACACACACGGGTATCCATGTATGCATGGAGCTGAGTCTTCAAAGCCACTATCAAGTTGCCTCCTTGCTGCTTAGGTCTGCTTTATTGAAATAGTTCTCTAAGGACTCAGAACCATAAGGGATTGCCTTAATTTTGCTTTTCATCACCCTGTGTTTGGATGTCCTTTCTCTTTCCTGGGCAAAAGAGAGAGTAACATCCAGTTATTAAAGCATTGGTGCTTCCCTCGGAGTACCAGACCCTGCCCTTCTCTTTCTGATTAGGAAGAAATAATTGTAAAGTGCTTAGCACAGTGCCTGGCACATAATAAGCACTATATAAATGTTAGCTATGACTGTCTTTGCACATAACGCCTGTTGACTTAGGCTTAAGTGCTTCCTCTTCATCCCTCAATAGAAAAGCAATTCCCTTCAACACA